CGTTTTGCCGGTTCGAGATTCAGGGGGCTGGGTCTCCCAGTGAAATTAGAAAGCAGAAAAAAACTAGAGGGAATGTGGCGAGGCTGGATAGAGGGGAGAGAGCAGGGGAGGAGGAGAAAAGGGTGAAAAAGGAAGAAGAAAGGGAGAGGGAAAGAAGGAGGGAGGGGAAACCGCTGAAGAGGAAGGAAGAGGGCGGGGAAGGCTGGCCGACAGGCCCCCCACGGGAGCCGCGTGGGCCGACCCGGTGGCCGGTTGGCAGAGCTGCAGTCCCTCTCCGGCCGCGGCCGCGGGGCGGGTGAATGGAAAGGGACCCGTGAGCTCAGCCATTGGCCAGCCGCGGGGAAGGCAAGCGGGCATTGGGCAACGTAAGGGGGCCGGACCGCCTTCAGGAATGTACTACGGCGCGTCCGGCACGTCCGACCGCGCCGGCGGGGCGCGCGCCTCGCCTGGGCTCCTGGGAGGCAGCTCTGGAGATGTGGAGCCCGCCGGACACGAGCCGAGCGCACCGACTTCCCTACCTGCTTGATCTGGGCCGCGCGGGCGCGGGTTGTCCGGGAGCTCGGGCGCGCGCACACCCGGACACGCGCGCGCGTAATAGGCCTCGGGCCGCCGAGCACGCGCCGCCCGGGCCCTGGGTCACGTGGCCGTGTGGGCTCCGCCCTCTCCCCGCTCCTCCCCCTTTCTCTCCATCTGGGTTTCTTTCTTTCCTTTCCTTTCCTTTCTTTCTTCTTTTTTTTTTTCAATGAACACACACCGTGTGCATCTTAAAGCCACACGGCCCCATTTCACGGCTTCAGTCGGCTTCCCGCTGCCGCGGGTCCCTCTGCAGTTCAACAGCATTAAAAAAAAAGAAAAAGCAAATTTACTAAAATAAGGCAGAATCGAGGGTTTGGGGATCTGGACCTTATCTCAGGAAGGAATTTAACTTGTAAGCGTAAGAAAAACAAATTCCACTGCCCAAAATTTATTTTTAAATAAAAAGGGAAGCTATGTGGACAGTTTAATTAGACTCGGGCCCCAGAATCTACCTGAGAGTCGCGTGTTTCCTTCCCCAATGGGAAGCGAAGCCCCGGGATGTCTTGGTGACACTAGCAGCAGTGTCTGGACAAATCCTCGCAATCAGTCCACAATTTGTTTCGAATGAATCCAACATCAAAGCCTTTATTCTCCTCTACGTCACGCTATTATTAAATATAACAGGATGCGTACCAGTTTTTGAAAAAAGTTTAAAACAGACTTTAAATAAATAAGGACATGTGGTTAATTTAAAAACGGGGGGGGGGGGAGTCTAAGTCCAAATTAATCCAAAGTAGTCGAGAAAACTTCCTCAAGGAAACAATTCCGCTTCTCTGGTTTATTAAAAGGATTCTGTTGTGTCTCTTTTACATATGTCAAATTAAAGATTCAAATAAAAATGCCTCTGCCTCCATGAGAATGCTTCGGTGTCTGGATTCCACGTTTATAATACACGGCCTCCTTCAAACCCGGACTGTGCTGCCGTGGGTTTTTTTTTTTTTTTTTAGGGGGGAGGGGGCGAGGGCATGAATTTTAAGAGAGGGTTTCTTTTTCCAACGTCCTTACTTTCCTCTTTAACTTTCCATTTTGTTTATCTTAATGCTAGGCGTTGTTCCCTGCGAGAGTCTAAGTCTTCTCTTTAGTTATAAAAGAAAAAAGAGGAGGGAAAAAAAATCTGGCACATACAGGCGTACTATCCACCACCCTGTCATTATTGGTGCAGGCCTGGGAATTCAAGCCGGACCTCCCAGTATTTGCTGCAGCTTGAGGCCAAGGTGCCTCTGAAAGGGTTTTCTTTGAGGAATTTCAGAAATTGTTTAAGCGCTTAAAAAAATATTACATTTCCCCCCGTGTCTATCGCGAGGCAAATGTTCGTGGGTGTGTGTGTGTGTGTGTGTGTGTGTGCGCGCGCGCGCTCAAAAGGCGTCTACAAAAAGAAGATACTGTTGAAAAGAAAAGGAATAAGAAAGAAAGTGGGGGGGGGGCATTCCTTAATGGAAGTATTGCATGCGAGAACGTTGGCGCTCTAGGAGGCTCCCCCCGAAGCCGGGATGCACACACTGGGGTTGCCTACCTGGGTGGTCTCTCTACTTTGGTGAGCTGTTGCTAAGCAGCTAATAATAGTCATGTTTGCTGAGTAATTTCTGCCCTCCGTGAGCCAATCGCGTCGCAGAAACCCAAGCCATCTGACAGCCCCAGGGGCGGGAGCTCCAGCCTTTTTTTCTTTCGCTCGCTCTCTCCCCCTCCACCCCCTCCCCTCCTCCTCCTCTTTCTCCAAATGGAGAGAGTTCTTTTTTTTCTTCTTCCATCTCATCTATTGAATCAAGGAGCTGCTGCGGCCGCTGCCCGCTGCACACACACAGAGCGGAGTCCCCAGGTCCCGGGAGCGAGAGAGGCGCGCTGCACGGGGGCAGAATGGTCCAGCGGGTCGGCGAGGAGCACAAGAAAGCAGAGTCCGGGATCGAGCAGCCACCGCGAACCCAGCAGCCAGAGCCCGAGCAGCCCGAGCAGCAGCTTCAGGAGCCGCTACCGCCAGCAGCAGCCGCCGCGAGAGCAGCGGCGGCGGCGGCAGCCCCGGCCCGGCAGCGCTGAGACCCGCCCGGCACCCACAGACCCTGCGGCGGCGGCTCTGCGCTTGCCCTCCGCGGCCGCTCGGGCGACCCAGGAGGCGCCGAGGGAGTCAGCGAGGCCGGCGGGAGCGGCGGGGATTTGCTGGCGTTTTCTGCAGTGAAGGGGTCGCGGCGCGGGGCGGGGGGTGGGCAGGGGGAGTTGGGGACCGCGAGGAGCGCCGCGCGAGCGCCCGAAGGACAGGCTGGCTCCGCGCGCCGGCTCTCGCCCTCCTGAGAACTGGATGTGGGCAGCGGCGGCCGCAGAGACCTCGGGACTCCCGCGCAATGTGGCAATGGAAGGCGCAGGGTCTGACTCCCCGGCAGCGGCCGCGGCCGCAGCGGCAGCAGCGCCCGCCGTGTGAGCAGCACCAGCGGCAGCAGCAGCAGGTCTGTCAACTGGAGCCCCAACCCGAACTGCCGGCGGCCAGCGGCGTCCTCGCCAGCCCAGTGCCGGGGCGCGCCGGGAGTCCGCAGCGGCAGCAGCAGCGCGCTGGACGGCCCGGGAAGCCTCGGTTCCCGCGGCGGCGGCGGCGGCGGCAACATGGCCTCGGCTGGTAACGCCGCGGAGCCCCAGGATCGCGGCGGCGGCGGCGGCAGCTGCAGCGGGGCCCCGGGCCGGCCGGCCGGAGGCGGGAGGCGCAGACGGACCGGGGGTCTGCGCCGCCACGCCGCGCCGGACCGGGACTATCTGCACCGGCCCAGCTACTGCGACGCCGCCTTCGCTCTGGAGCAGATTTCCAAGGTGCATTTCAGACTCTCCTCTCCTCCCACTCTTAGCTCCTCTTCCTCTTTGGGATCGCCCGGCCACACACACACACTCACTCACTCACTCACTCACTTACACACACCTCTCCAGGAAAAGAAGCAGACAAGCGGGGATTGAAAAATTCAAACCCTCCCTCCGGTCCTGGGAGGAAAGGGCTGTCTGAGGTCCGCAGGGGGTGGAGGGGGGTGTGTGTATGTGTGCGCGCGCGCGCGTGTGTGTGTACACGCGCCCTCCCGGCGTGCCTTTTCCGGAGCACTGGAAAGCGGTCCACAGTGGACCACCTCGAGGGCGGCCGCAGCGCGGTACTGCCCGGCGCCCCCTGCCTCGGAACCCTCTTTTCCCGCGCCCCTGCCCCTATATACAGCCCAAACCCCTGTAATGCTGCCACATTTCTTTGGAGGGGGAGGCGTAGTACAGAGAGGCGGAGAGAAGGGGGGAGGGAGCCGAAATAAAGGTGGTTTCCTTTTTTGGCAGCCGGTTTTGCTTTTGTTGAGCATGAAATCTCAGCTCCCTTAAAAATCATCCTTGGAAGAGGGCATCTCTCCTTTTTTCCCAGTTTTTGAGCTGGCTCTTCTCAGAGGGTTGGGGGAAAGAAAAAGTTGTAAACAAATTGCCACCTTAAATCCGCGGTCCGGGTCTGCGGAGCGGCCGGGTTCATTGTGTTTACGAGGATCGCTGAAATGTGTGGAATCCGGCGAAGGCGAGCACCCAAACCGGGGCCTGCCGGGGCCGCGGCCACCGCCGGGAAAGCGCCGCGGCCGGGAGCAGCCAGCGCCCAGTCGGGACCCCTGCCTGCGCCGGCCTGGGCCCTTCCCCTGTGCATTCCGCTGCTTTTTACGTTTACACAGAAGTGAAGGGAGAGGAGGGAAAGATCCATGTGGCTGCCCTCTTCCGATCACAAATATTGTCGTAAGTTTCTGAGGACTGCCCCACTTCCTAATTCAGCTCACACAGCGTCTCCTAACGCTATGGAAATGAGTCCGGAGTGAGCTCCCCCGACCGCATTTACCACGTGGATCCCCTTACTACCACGCCGGGCGAGGGTCAGAATGAGGGATTCCGCACTACATTGTTACCCGAGAGCTCTAACGCCCCAACCCGCGTCCCCGCTGGGGCACCCCGGAGAAAGGTGAAGGGTAGAGGGCAGGATTTGCGCGGGGGGGGAGGGGGTCGAGTTTTGCTGGTTCTTAAAGGTCGGGCTCCATCGCAGTGATTACGCAGCCCCTCCTTTACTAGGTCCGGCGTGGCTATTGCCTGTGTTAAGTGATTTCTCCCCTCTCTGCCTCAGGTTCCCCTTCCTTTCGTTCTTGCACCCTACAACCCCCGCCAGCGCCCTATGTCGCACTCAGGGATGCTGCGCAGGCCACGCGTGGGGGCGCTCCTGCTGTCGCCGCGGTTCAACTCCCACGCTGCAGCCCGACTTTGATTTATGCCCAGCCACCCCCCCGCCCACGCTGCTCGCGTTCTCTCGTGCGGGCGGGGGGGGGTCCAGCCCCGAGGGCATCCCCCACGGCTTTCGCGGGACCTGTTGGCGGGTGCGCGCAAGCGGGCGTGGGCGCGCGGGCCGCGACTCCCTGGCGCTCACTACTCCTTTTCTGCTTCATCCTCAGGGGAAAGCTACTGGCCGGAAAGCGCCGCTGTGGCTGAGAGCGAAGTTTCAGAGACTCTTATTTAAACTGGGTTGTTACATTCAAAAAAACTGCGGCAAATTCTTGGTTGTGGGCCTCCTTATATTTGGGGCCTTCGCTGTGGGATTAAAGGCAGCTAATCTGGAAACCAACGTGGAGGAGCTCTGGGTGGAAGGTAAGAGACCCCACGCGGCGCCCTCCAGTTCCCCACACCTCGGGCCCCTTCCTTTTTTTCCCAATTGATAAAGATATTTGCCAGCATACACCTAGAGCATTTCGGTGGCGAGCGAAAACCCCTTGCCCGCACCAGGGGGAATTGTTTATTGTTTGGGCGCCTGGCCTAGAGCCAAGCCCGCCCGACAAAGGCCGCGCTGTAATCTACTCGGGGCGCTGCGCTGTGCTAGGTGTTGTGGGAGAGAGCGGCGGGGGCGGGTCGGCGGGGGCGCGAGGCCCCTCCGCGGAACGGACCACTGCGCGGGCCGGGGGCCGCGGGGCCTGCAGCCGCCGCCGCTATCCGCCTCCGCCGTGCCTCAGGAGGCAGCCAGAGGCAGGCCTCTCCGCTTCTGGCGCTGGTCCTTGGCTTCTGTCCTCCCCCTCTCACCCACCGTGTCCAAAGGGAAAGAAGTGGGGGTGCGCAGAGAAAGGCCACCCCTCCGGCTGGAGGGAGTGTGCGCGCCCCCGTCGGCCGCGGCCGCCGCGCAGGGGAGGGTGGGGGGCGGGAGCAGCGCGGGCCTGCGGAGGCGGCGGCGTGTGTGGTCCTGTTTTTGGACAGCTTTCAACTCTGGGGGAAAAAAACATTTGTCTCAAGGTACAAAAAAAAAAAAAAAAAAAGCGGGGAGGTGGGGGGAAGGAGTTGGAAAAAAACCTGTAAAGCACAGACTGGAACGCATGTTTGCAAAGTAGATTTATGTTTCCTCGCGGGTGGGGGCTTTTAAAATGGAATTATTGTGGGGGTGGGGGGGAGGCCGCGTTTTACAGGCTGAAAGAAGAAACGTATTTTAAGAACGGGGGTTTGGAGGGAGGGGCCACAGGAGCTCTCCTAGGGGTTCTGCCAGCCTTGTAACTGCATTCTTCATTTGGGGCGCGGGGCAGGGAGGTGGTGGTCTTGAAGCCTTATTAAGCAGTTGTAAATTTAAAATAGATCCCCCTTTCCCGCGCAGAAACATTTTACATTCTTTTGATGATACAGGTTTTTTTTGGGGGGGGGGGGTGTTTTTTCTGTTGGTTGTTTTTTAACTCTTTTTGGAAAGTGACAGTCTTGCTGTTTGGAAACATTTTAACCCCTAAACACTGCCTTGGCTCTCTTACAGTGAGATGGGATGGAGGGATTGAGGTTATTATGTAGATATTTCAAACCAGAATATGTACAGCATTCCTAGTGAAAACTGCCCAAAACAACATTTGGAAGTTACATGTGTAATCTCTCCCTTTCAGAATGCTGTTGAAGAACTAATCTTGAAGAATATTTTGTTAATTTTGTCGTATTTGTGAAGATTCAGCCTTCAATGTTTTGCAAACATAGGGTGAAGCCTTTAGTTGCGAAGTGACAATTAAAATAATAGTCCAAATAATTAAGACCAGAAAACATTCTTGCCTTAAGTAGCTTGGTAATTAATACAGAAGTGTTATTTGGATTGAATCCATGGAGTAATTTACTTCAGTGCAACACTTCATTGTCGTTGGTAGCTAAAAGAAGGGTTTTATTGACCATCTATTATGATGTTCTAGCAACAAGTTTACTGAGTACCTGCAACACCCCTAGCACTGTGCTAGGCACTGTATGGGACTCTGAAGCATATGAGACACTCCCTGAGCACAAATTTATGCACTTAAAACTACCAGGGTTAAATCGACTTGAACTAAATTTGAGTTCACAGTTGAAGTGGGTGGTGGAAGTTCAATGGGAGGGAAAAAAACAGCTTTGATGGAGGTGGTGAGGCAAATGAGGGCGACATGGAGAGAGAGAGAGGATGAAGAAGGGAGTTCTGGGAAGCAGCTCAGAAAAGGCAGTCAGGCAAAGGCCCAAACTGAGTGGACAGATGACAGTAGAAGCACCCCACCCCTCCCCCATGGGAGAAGGGTGTAGTAGCTCAGGTGGGCCCTGGACAGCAGGGCTGTAGTTTGGAAATGTGATTAGCTAGACTATGGGAGCTACCATAGGTTCTCGGACAGAGCGAGGGATGAGGTGAACACGGGGCCCCCAGCTCTGTTTCCATGTTCACTTTCCACCATGTGAGCCAAAAAAAATCTGTTGGTTGTTGTGACAAAATGTCGCTTTTTGTTTTGAGGAAGACTTTTGGTAGACCTTGAATAGATTTAAAGAGAAATAATATCACTGTTTTTTTTTAACATTGTGTATTTCTAGAAGCAACTGTATTTCTCCATTATACAGCACATTTCAATTCCTGGAAGGAGGAGCAACATGCTTCCTAGGCTCCTTCTTAGTAACAGAGTGTTAGGGACTGACACACCTGAGCTAAGACTCAATTTGCCTACTTCTGGCCTCTTAGCTATTTTCCTTCCCATCTCTGTTTTGGCAATTTCAGTATGGCTCACTGGTTCTTCAGTCAAATGTTATCTACTCAATACTATCACTTGTTGAGCACCTACCATTACCATTTATTATTATCACATGCCTTACAACCCAATAAGGTAGCTATCCTTTACTTTTGTAACATGATATCTTATATATAATGTTTTCATATATATCTGCATTCTTGTCCTCTTTTCTATGAGAAACTATGACTCTGTCATGTCACCATGACCCTTTGCCTACTAATGACTTAAGTCAGTGATTTTTCAGCCTTTTCATCTTATGGCACACATAGAATTAATTACTAAAATTCTACAGCACGCCAAAAAATACATTTTTTGCCAGTTTGACATAAAAATAGATATAATTTTGATTGATGTAAAACAATCATTGTAATTACCTACCCTTTTTGCTCCAAAGTGACTTTTTAAAAAAACCAGGTCCCTATACTTGTATATAAGGATTTCTAGTACCAAGAATTAACCAATCAGATGCAACCTTATTATACAACGTGACCAGTAAGATGCAGTTCTATTATATGACATATATATTTATGGTTCAAGACAGGGCATTCACACCAGATGGCTGTTGTCATTTTTTACTTGACAGTCTAAGGGAAAGAAGGTTAGTGCCCCTGACTAAGTAGTCAGGTATTGCATATTTTTGTTGTTGTTAATCTTCACCCAAGGATATTTTTCCATTGATTTTTTTAGATAGAGTGGAAGGAAGGGAGGAGGGAGAGAGAGAGAGAAACATCTGTGTGAGAGAGATACATTGATTGGTTACCTCTCACTGGGGCTGGGGATCGAACCTGCAACCCAGGTATGTGCCCTTGACCAGGAATCGAACCCAAGACTCTTCCATCCACAGGCCGACACTCTAACCACTGGGCCAAACCGTCCACGGCAGGTATTGCATCTTTTATTTATTTATTTTTTAACTTTTTTTTCTATATTGATTTGAGAGAGAGAGGAAGGGAGAAAGAGAGAGATATAGAAACGTCACTGAGAGAGAACATCGATTGGCCGCCTCCTGCATGCCCCGCACTGGGGATTTGGCCCACAACCTGGGCATGTGCCCTGACCAGGAATCCAACCGGTGACCTCTTGGTGCATGGGTCAATGCCCAACCACTGAGCAATACCAGCTGGGCAGTGTTGCATCTTTTAAAAAGTCTTGTGGCACCAATTGGAAATTGCTGACTTAAGTCAACTTGGTCTCCTGTTGCTTTGACCTCGATTTGTCATTCATTCACTCATTCACTGTGTGCTAGATTTTTCCCCTGTAGAAGAAGAAACAGTTTGATAAATGCAAGTATACCCAACCGGGGAGGCCACCATACCATTTTATCATTTTAATTTAGATTAAAAGTAGAAGTCTTGTTTGTGATATGGCGGGCTTCTTGTTCACGTCAGCAATAAGTAGTGTGAGCATTTGCTCAAGAGTAAGAATTCCCTGCTCTCTTACACTGCAGTAGAGTAAAATGGGTAGCAAACTGAGAATTTAAGGTAATTTTGAACTTTAATCTCTTAAATGCCACATCACTCTCAGCAAAGCAGTCTGTTGGATGGCGTTTTCTTAATAGGGACTGTAAATGTTCTGGGTACAAGCAGGGCGCTTGCTACTACACTAAGTAAACCAAATGACACAGGTTGCATGTTTCCCTGATTAAAAAGCAACAGAAGAAAAGAGAGCATAAGAGATTTTATGGGGAGAGGAATGCTGAGGGACAATTTGGAAAATGCTATTCTTTCTGTGATTTTTAAAAATGCCATGTATATATACACAGATGTATACACACCCACAGGGAACTGGAGGGTGTGTGTGTCTGTCTGTCTGTCTATGTCTACATACAAATACATATGTGTACGGTGTTGGCAAAAGTAGGTTTACAGTTTATATGGCAAAAGGTGTGCAGATTATAATTATTACAATAGCTTTATTAACTCAAAAGAATGTCACTATGGCACAGTGCACTTAGGTACAATCTCATAAGTGCTCGAATTGCTGGCCTTCATTATTTGCATAGTCTTGTAGTCTTTGAAAATCAGTAAACAAACCTAAATTTCATGACCTGCTTGGGTCAGCCCTACTGCTTCCTAAAGTGGTTGAATTCAAACCTACTTCTGCGCACCTCTCCTGTAGATAGATAGATAGACGATAGATCAATCGGTCACTCTCCACTTGCCTTTGTGTTTGTGTATGCACGTAGACTTACTACATGCATTCACATCTGCCAAAGTAATGTTATCTTTTGAATATAGTCAGCAAATTAAAGGTATATACCTATGATTTAACTTTCATGCCTTGTTTAACATGCTTGGGAAAGACAGTATAATACATTGGCTCCAATGTGCAGACCAGTATAAGCTGGATAAGGAAGATTGTCTCACTTTTTTATGGCATTGGTGATAAGAAGTCTTTGATTCTGTTGTTCAAATGTTCATATGATGATTGCCTTTTAAGAAACTGTCAATATACATTAGATGTTAGCTTGAGTCTTAGGTCCTATCTAGCTCACTTGTAAAGGGAGTCCTCCTGCCTGAAGTTTAGTGAAAAAATATGTGGAATGATGTAGTGGACATTTGCTGTTATGGAAACATACCAGTGCCAGCAAGGTCAAAGAGAGTCTAATTGTTATTT